ATGGTGCTGAGTAGCATGGATTAACACCTTATCGTATGGTGCTGAGTAGCATGGATTAACACCTTATTAGATTAATCTTCCATTGTATTTGCTATTTTTCTATTATAGTTAACATATCTTGGAAAACTAGAATAGCAGTTGTTTATATCTGGATTTTCTTAATTAAACTTTGTATAAAACAGGAATATAGAATTATTTTACTGTGACATTGCAGGTGATAATGGCATTTTTAAGTAGTTATCTTTAATTGAGGATTGTTCACTTTTTTTCTAGTTTTTTTTGTTTGTTTATCTTCTTGAAAAGTTTATTTTCAGATGAGCTTGACAAAATGTATATTATCGGCATTTATAGAATCAAAAATAAATCTATTTCAAAATTAATGCATTGTTTTTATTTATTTGTTTTTTTACACAGATTGTAGTAGAGTCTATGATCAAAACAATGGTTTGATCATGAGTCCTCAGTATCCCCGAGTCCACTCTGTGGAAAGTCACTGTGAAATACTAATCCAAGTCCCTGTAGGGTACACAATTTCTCTGTATTTCATGGATTTCTTCCTATACTCTTCTATGGTCTCTAACTGTACCAACTCAGGCACAGTCTTAAAGGTAAGATTTTATGTCATTTAGTTGATCTCGTTGTCTGTTTTCTGAGGTTGTCATTTTCTTTCATGAAATGCTTCCTTGATCTGGAAATTATTTAATGTGTTTATAGAGACAGACATTTTTCTGATTTAAATTGATAAATTATCAGTGAAATGTCCTATTGCTTCTCATTTTTAGTCTATCAAAGTTTTGTTACCATGTAGATAAAATGCTAATTTGATATCCAGACATATGGTATGCTGTTTACTTTTTGTATAGCCAATATTTTCTGAACCAAGATTTCACAAAGTAATCTAATTCTCCCTACTGTTTTATAATCTGTTGTAGGTTATTAAAAAATACAATATTTGTCTGTTTTTTGGGTTTATAAAATTATTCAGCTCAAGTATTTGTACCAGCTGAGATTTTCAGTTAGTTGAAATATTCATGTAGAAACATTTTGATCTGGCTAGTTCGCATTATTTTATTGGATCTTATAAATATGTTAGCAGCGAGTGTATGATGGGAAGGATAAAAGTTAATGGCTAGTATCCAGCTATTGTGATACTTCTTAATAGTAAGTTTTTAGCATAGGCAGTTACGAGTTTTATCATTTAAGTCATGGCCTGGTGGTTAGAGCACTTGACATCAACAAACATGCTCACTATCACCATCTTTTATTGATAAACATAAGCCTAAGAGTTGGCAGTAGATGGTGTTAAATAACCCTCTGGCCTATCACTTATCAACAAATAGTTCAGATAGCCCTTGAGTAGCTTTGTGCAAAATTCCAAAAATAAAAAACAATTGTCTTTTATGTTTTAGCTCTATTTTAATATGTGATTTTAAGAAAAATACTAAAGCAGCACATACAATGTATTTTATAAAACAGGGTTCTTATTCTTTACATCAGATATTAAAATTGACTAAAAATTAGTGGCTTGTGGATTAAAAAAAAGATGTAAAATATGGTTCCTTTCTTGTTTGGTAAAATATATAACTAGATTTGATTACTAAGCAGAATTTGAAAATAAGCTTTGTACTGGACAAGCTGCATGTTCTGTGTTCTTTCTGTTCCTCTTGTACTGGACAAACTGCATGTTCTGTATACTTTCTGTTCCTCTTGTACTGGACTAGCTGCATGTTCTGTGTACTTTCTGTTTCTCTTGTACTGGACTAGCTGCATGTTCTGTATACTTTCTGTTCCTCTTGTACTGGACAAGCTGCATGTTCTGTGTACTTTCTGTTCATCTTGTACTGGACTAGCTGCATGTTCTGTATACTTTCTGTTCCTCTTGTACTGGACTAGCTGCATGTTCTGTATACTTTCTGTTCCTCTTGTACTGGACTAGCTACATGTTCTGTATACTTTCTGTTCATCTTGTACTGGACTAGCTGCATGTTCTGTATACTTTCTGTTCCACTTGTACTGGACAAGCTGCATGTTCTGTATACTTTCTGTTCCTCTTGTACTGGACAAGCTGCATGTTCTGTGTACTTTCTGTTCATCTTGTACTGGACAAGCTGCATGTTCTGTATACTTTCTTTTCCTCTTTTACTGGACAAGTTGCATGTTCTGTGTTCTTTCTGTTCCTCTTGTACTGGACAAGCTGCATGTTCTGTGTTCTTTCTGTTCCTCTTGTACTGGACAAGTTGCATGTTCTGTGTTCTTTCTGTTCCTCTTGTACTGGACAAGCTGCGTGTTCTGTGTTCTTTCTGTTCCTCTTGTACTGGACAAGCTGCATGTTTTGTATACTTTCTGTTCATCTTGTACTGGACAAGCTGCATGTTCTGTATACTTTCTGTTCCTCTTATCTGAGGAACAGATACACAGATTATGTTTTAAATCTGAACCAGTTTTACTGAAAACAACATTGGATCCGTAACATGAAAAAGATTATAGTTTTCACTGCTTGTAACAAAACATTCTAAGAGAAAATTATACCATTTAGATTTTATTCCTGGTAATTATGATCTTTGATACTTCAGTTGAAACGTCTTTTCTACCTAATTGTTGGAAAATGCACAGTTTGGTAACGTTTATCATTGTGATACAATACAATTGAACTCTTTTATGAACTTTTCTAGGTCCATGATGGAGGTAGCAACTTACATAGGGTCCTTGCAGTGTTATGTGGCCATTCGTTACCAAATCCAATCTTTTCTACAGGCGATCAGTTATGGCTGAACTTTACTCGCATAGGTTTTTCGAGCTCCAAATATTTGATTTCTTATACATCCACTAATCAAGGTATGTATTCTTATTATTCTCAGAACTGTACCTTGCAGATAGATTGATACTGATGTATTGTGTCAGTTCATATAATTTGGGTATTGTTGCTATTTAGCTAACTTTTCATATATTCTAGTCCTAATGAAACTAGAACTGATCTTTTGTGGCTGCTACTTATTTAAAGTATTTTGTAATATTTTTGTAAGAACTAAAACTGATGTATTGTATATCCTTAGATCTTAAGTTTGACTATTGTACTTTATTGCAGGAGACATATTTATGACTTATGTTCAATCTCTTTCAGGACCAGGATGTGGTGGAAATTTGACAAACACTCACGGTGTATTTACCAGTCCATTTTACCCGCAACCTTACAACCAGACTTCAGAATGTCGTTGGTATATCCTCATTCCCGGGAAACACACGTTAACCTTGTCCTTTAGCAACTTTGCTTTAAGTTCGAGCGCTGGCTGTGAAAGCAATTATGTGGAGATTTATGAAGGACATCATGAGACGTTTAACAACGATGTAACTAGATTTTGTGGTGAGGTATGTAGTATTGTATCTTTTATACGTTATATTGCTATAATTTACAGAAAAAACATGCCAGCTGATGGGCTGTCATCTTGTGCAGTCATAATTTTTCTAAATCAGAGATCTAATAATTTTTAACATATTTCTTAAATATACATTAGCAATCAAAATATTTTGCCACTATAAAAGTACCTTTTTAGTACATTAATTATAAATAGGAGAATCATTAGGGTAGTTTTTTTTATTTGTGAAATAACTGGGGTGAGATAATTATTCAGGTAGAGGTAACTTGTTAGTTAAGAAACATCCAATATAACTGATGTAAGAAAATCATTCTAGTAGAGTTATCAGTTGATCATGAAACTAAGTGGGTAACTTGGGTGAGAGAATCATTTGGATAGTTATCAGTTGATCATGACACTAAGTGGGTAACTTGGGTGTGAGAATCATTTGGATAGTTATCAGTTAAAAGTTACCCACTTAGTTTCATGATTAGTTTCATGATCAACTGATAACTATCCAAATGATTCTCTCACTCCTCTCACCCAAGTTACCCACTTAGTTTCATGATCAACTGATAACTATCCTAATGATTCTCTCACTCAAGTTACCCACTTAGTTTCATGATCAACTGATAACTATCCAAATGATTCTCTCACTCAAGTTACCCACAATCATTAGGCTAGTTATCAGTTAATTATGAAACCTAGTAGGTAACTTGGGTGAGATAATCATTAGGCTAGTTATCAGTTAATTATGAAACCTAGTAGGTGACTTGGGTGAGATAATCATTAGGCTAATTATCAGTTAATTATGAAACCTAGTAGGTGACTTGGGTGAGATAATCATTAGGATAGTTACCAGTTAATTATGAAACCTAGTAGGTGACTTGGGTGAGATAATCATTAGGCTAGTTATCAGTTAATTATGAAACCTAGTAGGTGACTTGGGTGAGATAATCATTAGGATAGTTACCAGTTAGTGATGGAACAAGAAGATATGATCTAAGGTGTGAAGATTCTTAAAGAGTGTTTATTGCTAACCTTGAAATAAATTATGTTTGTATCTGTGACTGATTATTGTATCTCTATAATGTGTTTGGTTTAAAATGATAATGATGTAGTTTGTTTTTTTGTAACAGGACAATCCAGCCCCTTACATATCTAGAAATAATGCCATCTTGGTTAAGATGGTAACAAACACAAACAATACAATGCCAGGATTTAGAGCTTTTTTTCAAGCAAATATAGTTGGTAAGTGGCATCATTGTTCTTCTATATGAAATGAGTTAATGTGTTTGTAAATGAATAATATACAAACATATACATAAATTTAATTGTGTGTTTGTTTACATTATTCTTACATTTAGTCTCCGAGTTTACGTAATAATGCATTTTTTTTAAACTAAACTCTTGGGACTAGCCACTTTCATTATTAACATATAAGTTCTATTGTATCTAAACAACACATATTTTTTTTGTTAGTTTAAAAGTGTTTTTTGTAAATTTGCATTAATTTAGACTTTATGTTCAGGTAGTTATTGGAGATGAAAAGACAAATGCTATAAAACTATTTCTTAACAATGGTATTGAATAGTGTGTTAGGGTTGGTGAATATGGTATCTTAACAATGGTATTGAACAGTGTGTAAGGGTTGGTTAATATGGTATCTTAGCAATGGTATTGAATAGTGTGAAACTAGTCAATACCCTTGTTAAGATACCATATTCACCAACCCTTACACACTGTTCAATACCCTTGTTAAGATACCATATTCACCAACCCTTACACACTGTTCAATACCATTGCTAAGATACCATATTAACCAACCCTTACACACTATTCAATACCATTGTTAAGATACCATATTACCCAACCCTTAGTAAGGGTTGTTGAATATAGTGAAATGTTATCTTTAGGTGCAGTTTTCTTCATGTTTCTCAACGTTTATTATGATTTTCCAAACCTTATCTGTTGATTTGGTATTAAAGCAAACTGACGACAATAATAATAATCGGAAAACCCCTTTTTTTTATACACTAATTTAAAATTTATGAGATACTGACTGAGAGACATTGATAAAAAATGTGCAGTAGTTAAATGTGTTATTAGATTTTTCAGACTCATTGAGCTTTTTTTTGTGTGTCTGCCTTATATAGTTTTGCATCTTTACCTTTAGGATGTTAAGAAAACATGTAGGCTCAATGTATCAATTTAATACAAAAATATAAAACCCTATAACTTGAGCACTTCAGAAAGGTGGATCTTTCTTCATTAGTGTTTTGTATTTTTGTGTTACACTTTAACCTTAATGAACCCTATAACCTAAGGGCTTTAGAAAGGTGGACTTTTCATTACCAGGGTTTTGTATTTTTGTGTTACACTTTAACCTTAATATTTTAAGGAACACTTCTAGGCTTCTTTCAATGTTCAGAACAAATATTGAATTTGTTTTCATACTTATTGAGTGTTTAAAAATATTCATAGGTGACAATTTCCTTTTACAGTTTATTTTAAAATAATAAGAACCCCCCCCCCCCGTTCTGTAGTGGCTATGGACTAGATGATATTATTTCTTAATTTTTACATAATAAAAATGTTTAATAAGAATGACAGTGTAGACTTGTGTGAGAGTAGGTGCTCTTTACTTGCTTCTTTAAGAGGTATCTTATGAATAATATGAGGTTTTGAGACATTTGTGTGTGGGATAAGGTTTATTTCAGTACAATGTTTCATCTCTAGCAGTGCAACGTGATCATGTACAACACTAAATAGTATATATATACGATCATGTCACACTGTTAGAGATGAAATGTTGTACAGAAATAAATCTTATCCCACAAACAGCTGACCATGGGTGTCTGCAGAGGGGGGGGGGGGGGACTTGCCCCAGAAAAATGAGAAACATAATCCTTTTTTTTCGATGACGAGGAACCCACTTTGAGACTAATAATGGCTGGAGACGGCTTGAATGGATAATGAAGAAAAAC